TTCGTTTTACCTCGACTGGGAAGTGGAACAATGTAGTTTTCTCCGAAAAATTTTATTATTATTGCATTAAGTTTAAATAGAAACGGTGGTGAGATCGATTTTCTTTTATTGATTGTTAACGACGTTTTGTCCGCAGTTATGGACCGAACGCGAGCTGTGTCATTTTCCGTGCTATCTCAACAGCAATTCGAATAGTCCAACTATAAGTCCTGAAGTATTTGAATGAAATTATACGATCAATTCGTATAAGATACAATTCAATAGAATTGGTCGAACAGAGAGAACATTTCGGATGATGATACATGTGTATTTCCCCCTTTGTCACGTGATTTGTTTCCACATTTCTTGTTTTGTGCCGTAAAACGTGATGAAAATTGTATCGGAGTTTTACCCACTGTGCAATAAACTGATAACCTCGGTGGAATAAATGAAAACTTTCTCTTTTGACCTAAAATGGAATCAACAGGCGATCTGCCCTTGAACCATTTTTAGTCGGTTGAGGTAGTGGTATTTAGGTGCAGTCGAGAGTGCAGAAAAACACCACTTGAAGAGGTTAGCGGTTGCGTAATCTATGCATTGCAACACGTGTATGAACTTCTCTGCACCCCGAGACAAAACTATTGCATTCCATTAGATGTTCGGATCATATCCGGTCCCACATGCGCGGTCATCACCGTTTGTTTCAGAGTCCCTATGGCGACTAAATCAAAAGCCAAAATACGAAATCACCCCTGTTTCTCTTTTGTTCTAATGAAGATACATAGAAGCAACCGAATGTCCATTGCGACGAAAGTATTGCACCCCACCTCTATCCTTAAACATGCACACTGACGGTAGTTTGTCACCCCACTGCATTGACTCTTCCACCTCAAAACGTCTACACGCCTTCTCGACATACTCTCTACAAGATTTCGCATAATACCCGTGTTTCCATTAGTTTACTCCCTGACCAAAGATTTCTCCAATCCGTGCTTTTCTGGTGTAAAATCTTGGATTGTCTGTGCACGTCTTAGGGTAAGAATAACCTCAATATTTTCTCATGGGTTTCAATCGGGTCTGCACGCAGAGCACACCATTTTCTTGATGCTACAAATGACAACATCCCGCATTTTGTTAGATACCGCTTATGAACGGCTGCGTATGTCTGTTGGAAAACCGGATCAGGAGGTTCATTTGATGCCATTTCTGTGATAAGGTGCCACTCCAATCTACGAGTATACATATGTATCACAGTCTTGCATCCCGGTTCGAGTATGACGAGTTCGTTCGGGCTGTATCTCAACGAGGAGCCAGAATCCCATCCCATCACGGAATTTTGATCGTTAATCAGCTAACTGAAGAAATTCTCACCTTTCCTAAGTTATGCCTATAAGATTGCAATGCATTAGGTCTATCTATCAGGTCGTGAAAGTTTCCAATCGAGTCATAACCCTGGAGGCTAGTGCTGAGATGAGCAAGGTCTGTGACCCGCAACAAGCTCGCAAAGATGGGTTGTGCTAGATTGTGTAAATGGAAAATGAAAAACAATCTAATCAGCTGCTCAGTGGCCGAGTGGGTAGCATGTCTGTGTTACACCTATGAGGTTCCAGGTTAGATCTCGGTTGAGTTGATGGATCCGCACTGTTGATGAGTCCTAACCAGGTCAAAACGGCTGTCCAGTGCCTTCTAGCTTTTCAGTTCACTCTTCGTTTGCCATATACAAGACACCAATCTTTCTATATACTGCGCCAAAATAAACATGGGTTCAACGCAAAATATCGAAACAGCATTGGGGTAACAAAAGTAATCAACTTGCGGAATAACAAATGTTTTTTGTTTACTGCAGGCTATTTTGTTTATTTTTGGGATCGCACACAGTAAAGGAAGCAGTCAAACCACTGACCTCGGTTCGATGCCATATCCCGCATTGTTGCCAACCAAAGACAATTTGAATCTTTGGGGCGCCAGCCGAGGAGCCCCAACAGAAGCCAGATCCGAGCAAAATCTCTTTAACCCTCTGCGCCATGCCACAGCCTGCCCACCTCGCTGTTTCTTCCAGTCCGGGGCCGGTGTCTGGGAATAGTGCATGATATGGCAGAGGTTGCTCCGATATTCATATGAGGTGCCCTAACCACCTAAGACGATGCGGTGAAATTATTTTGCTCAACGGAAGACTATCTGATCCTAGCACCAATCGTCTGACCTCATCGTTATTCACGTGCTGCTCTCACCATGCGCGGGTGAAATTGCGCAGACAACGGTTCCCGAAGACGGATAGTCGTTTTCACAGGATCTGATGTCCACAGTACATAACTGGAATCTAACAAAACGTGGGCTATTATTTACTAGCATCAAAGCAATGGTGTGGCCTGCGTGCAGCACAAAATCAAAATCTTTGAGGTAGTATACCGTGAAGGTTTGTAGAAATTTCAAGGTGAAATAGTCCATGCATCTGGTACCAAGCTGCCGTCACTGAACAAGATTCAGTTGGAGGGAGGTGCAATACTTTCTATCGGGGTATGTTTATCTCCTCTCAAGTAACTCAGTGGTGTCTATTGTTTGGGATTTACATAACTTCGCTTCTCCCGAAAATTCCCCCACGAGCTGCACAGAATAAACTGAAGGACAAAATCACGTCTGAGCGGTTGTTTTGTGGTTTCCAAATTGCCCTCCTCTATTCCTGATCTTCAATCATGTCTCATAGAACGAGTGTCGTTCGTTTCTGTCGGCTTTGTCGAGTTAAGGCCATTGTATGCAAAGTACCTGAACGAGTAGCTGAATGCATACACTAGGCGAATTGTCACCTTATCAGAGTGGTGCTGATGAATGTCTTTCAATCAGTTTTACCATTACTGTGTCGATCACGTTGTCCGAGTCCTCGTTTGTCTGAAATGCTGAGCATCGACGGGAGATTTTCTCGTGTTAATGCCCACCCAAGTCGCTTATGATCCATTTATCCAGGATCTAATTGTCTGATAGCTTGTCTAAATACAAATCATTGAGCTTGACCGAAGAAAACTGCAAAAATGGAGCTGATTCCTGCAGTGGCTTTGCTTGACATTTAACAACAAGATGTTCCAGTGGCTGCACACTGCGGCGGTCATTCAATCCGTGGGCGATATGTTCAGTGCTTTTCATTCAGTTGTCATGTGTACTATATTTGAAGCCTTTCATAGCATAATTTTATTTAAACGTTCATGAAAACAAGGATGAATAGAGTAGTTATAGGTGTAGATGACATTTTCGCATTTTACTCACAGTTACTTGTGAGTAGTGTATGTGGGATAATTGATATTGACGGATTTGGCTGATTATTCTTCGGACTTCACCTTCACGCACAATCCTCAGTTCATCGATTCACTGATGAGCTCTAATAGGAGCAAATCTCGAGTCTAGTGCTTCCGAGTGTACGGTCGAACCTATGAGCTGAGGATTGTGCGTGAAGGTGAAGTCAGAAGGATAGTCAGTCAAATTAATCAATAGATGATATTTGTTATGATAAGTTTGGAACCAATTTAAGGACAGTTTTGAGATTTCTGCGAGTTGTACTACAGGGGAACTGTTTTTTTCCTGTTCATAGAGCTGAGGCAGTGCAAGTTCCATTTGCAAACGCTGACTGAGGTTCTGCAAACCTGAAGTGTTTCCCTCAACACTTTGCAGAAAGTGGTTTTTTTAGAGTTACGTTAGTTTAGTAATTGGAGTGAATTGTGGATGCGCAATGTTTCAGCGTACATCTTCTCTCCCGGATATGAGAAACACGGAACCTAAGTCTCGTCCTGAATTCCTTTTGGTTGAGGAGCACAGAGAATTCCGTGCTGCCCACCAGCACGTTTGTTAAGAGGTGAATGCTTTGCCTTTTTTATTTTTTTAGGGATTCGTTTCCATTTATCTTAAGTCGGTATTCGATCCCTCGAAATGATTCCTTTATTTCCTGTCTTGTCCTCTCTTACAAAATACAAACATACCCGTATTCTGTTCCCCCAGGTGGTCTTTTCTTTGCAAATCGAATGCGATCGCTCGGGTTTGTGACTATGCTCGATCCGTTCCAGAATAAATTTGGTGAACGCATGTGCGGTTTGCTATTTATCCCGGCTCTTTTGGGCGAGGTGTTCTGGACTGCGGCCATCCTATCGGCATTGGGTGAGTCCGAGCGGGCATTTTAATGATGGCGCTCTTTCCACCTTTGCTACGCATATAACAAGCATCGATTAACCGACTGATTGATTAGCTAATGGAATGAATGCATGCGTCAGTGGATGCCTGGCTGCATTTTAGATTGCATTTTTTGAAATGAATAGAGCCGAAAAATGGTCACTCAGGCATTCGTCATGATGCACGTCGCTTGAACATGGTTCAAATAGATGATCCATTTTTTCACACTTCAGCCTTATCCCGGTATCTATCTATCTATCTATCTAACTATCTATCTACCTATCTATCTCTTTGTATTTCAGGTGCCACGCTGGGTGTGATAGTGGAACTTGATCAACGAACTTCCGTCATTGTGTCCGCGTGTATAGCCCTCCTCTACACGTTGTTTGGAGGCCTGTACTCGGTGGCTTACACGGATGTGGTTCAGCTATTTTGCATTTTTATCGGTCTGGTAAGTCACTTGTTGAGTTTTCTGTTCCTTTGGGTCAAAGTGAAGCAATGCACGCTGATTCCACTATCCTAGCGCATCAATCGCACGTGTCACCTTATTTCCCGGTTGCAACGGTTTAGAACCCAGATGAGTGAATTTACGAGTACATGGATCATCCTGAGCAACACGAAAAAGACAGAAATGGAATTGCAACTTTAGCCATGTTCATCGTTTAAGGCAATCGACTAGGATAACCAGAGAGCTAATGTTACCTGGTTTTTTGATCATGCAAACTAAAAAAACAAGGCGCTATACGATTTTGTGAAATCAGCGACCTTGACGCTAACGTTTCTCGCACATTTCAAAATATAAATATTTTCAATTTCCCGGAAAACGGTGTCAGAATTGATGATGTACGCTATCAGCTGAACTTCAATACAGTCTAACTGCCCCACGTTCATTCTTTAAGGAAATTGAGTAACAAGCTTACACGTTTTTTTACATTCTCCTCCATTCCACATTAATAACTCACTTTTGCTTACAGAGATAAACGGAAAAGTAAAGCTTATCGTCAAAACATTTCCTATAGATAGTAGGTGTTATGCCTTGATTTTCGGTTGCAAGAAACACGGGAAGCTTAGGGTTACTGTGGCGATTGTCCTGCGCCAGAGAGGGCGTATTATTCAAAAACGATGTCATGACCATCTTGGTGGTGCTTTATCATCGGATGAAGATGACCCTTTCAGAGTTGTGATTTAAATCTTTTTGACTGCAAAACTCGGTCACAATCAATGTGATGTAATCGGCGATGTGATTTGGTGAATGTGACCTACGAGAGACCACTGGCTTTTACGAACTGGACAACTTTGTCACCGATTAGAACGACTGATCGCGAAAATCAACTGAATTTATACCCTCTGAAGTCATGTTGATCGCGAAATTCAAACGTGTAATCAACAAGAGCTCATTGAATCAGACTACTTACACTCGTAGCAAATGTAACATCCGATAAATAAGTAAATAGATAAATAATAAATAAGCGTTTGAGAGTGTCGTTGACATTGGGTCATCTTCAACTATGTAACACCACTTTGGCTACAGACGAGGATCAGGGAACCGAGGTTCATCAAGTTCGGGTGAACGAATGGAAATAAGTAGGCTGGTGGTGGTCCAGTACACCAGACGGAATGGAAGATAATAGGTGACCGACAGCGAATGTTAACAAGACTAGCGACAGATTATGCAAACAGCTCGCACACATCCACTGTGTTGTTCATCAATCTGACGGACATGAATGTTTAGCCAGGCTATGGCATTACCGATACGGTGCGAGTCGTACAGAAGCGAGTAGGAACGCCTGTATACACTTTTAAATACCAGCCTCATTTTTGTCGGGAAGGTGGCACGAGGACAACGGAGTTCTAGATGTTTTGAGGTTTTCCTAATGCGGCCATTGACTTAATGCAGCGCTTATTACAGACTATTTCCATATGCCTGCAATAATCAGTGGTGCCGACATGATAATGTCCTCATCCATAAGAAGAGTTAGTCATCATGGTGATCTAAATATTTTCCAAAAGGGGAAAGAACGAGAATAAAAATATTTTCAGAGAACCCAAAACAAAATGGAATGTGAAATATTCGTTTCGACAAATTGTACATATAAAAAATCCGTAGGAATGTTAGTTGCCGTGGTATGTATAGAATTATGAAACTTCTGTTTGATAGTACCAAAAAAATACATGGATGCCGTCGAAATTAAAAGTCTCAGCTCTAAGTCCAGCCCAGTAACACAGTTTTCACAGGGTTCGTCAACTCCACACCACCAGCAACTATCGAATCAGCCACGGTCCTCCGACAGCTACAAAAAGCATTTGGTTCAGATGAATTATCATCAATGACATTTACGAACTTTTTTTCAGTCCCACTATTCAACTTATTGAATAACTGCCTGATTAGCTGAAAAAAGTTCCTGAAATTGCAATACTAGCCAATATAATTCCCGTACCCCCAGAAGGAACATGAGAAGTAATGTCCCATCGCCTGCACGTCAGTAATGCTTAAGTTATTTGAGAGATGCTTGCTCCCGTTGCTTATCAATGAATCTGCCGAGATGATACAAATCAATTTGCACACCCGCTCTGCACGCTCTACACTTGACCCGGTAGCTTTTCTTTCCCATCAAATACGTTTAGCTCTAAGACCGCCAGAAAGTTCTTCTCAGACTACAAAAACGCATATAGCAGTTTTGATCGATCCGTGCCGTTCAATCTGATTGCCAAAAGTGGTGCTGATCCGAACGTTTTCAAATTGATCGACGAGTATTCTTTTACAGAGTGAAAACCGTTCATGTATCTGGACGGCAAGAAATGTACTCACCCGGTTACTTCTCTTGTTTCCCCCTCCCCGTCTTTCTTTCCACGGTATTTTAAATAACTGTTCATTCTTTTTACACTTATTGCTGCCAATATGCTGCGGATGTAAAGCATCCAGATTTCCTTCCCTTTCTGCTAAATTTGAACCCATAACAAAAGCAATATTAGTGAAATATTGTAGCTTCACATTATCACACAATTTATCATGATTCCCGCAAGCTCAGGACACCCTATATAAAAAGTAAGAGCACCGTCATGTTCTCACTTTGAGTAAGAATCCTTTCGGTTCCTCAAGTCCCCCCCTCCCATAAGTTGATTGTTCAATTTGTGAATGCGTCTGTTTACTTCCGGTCTAAGTGATTAGTGTCAAGAAACCGCTTTATCTGCCTCATGAGAGATGAATATTATTGAGGTGATATACAATCACTCTTTTGTAGTACAAGGATCAAGTTAGAGACAAAAATGAATGAGGAAACCCTGCCTACCCAAGAAAAATTAAGCAAATTAAGCATGTTTTCAAGAAGCTTTCAGTCGAAAAAGCGGCCTTAGTAAAAAAACTGTGCAAGGCACGCCATTATAGAAGACACATGCGTGCTGTTGCTGTATGCCTACGCTAGGAGCAAGTGGTAGATGTGGACGCCAGCGCATCGAGAGATGACCAGGACCCACAAAAGGCAAAGTGAATGGGATCAGATAGCTTCTAAAGTAATTTCAAACCAACAGTCGTGCAAGCGGTTGGACGGTGGTGGCCCCCTTGGTAAGGTCAAATTATCACCAAATTATCACCCCGGGGAACGTATGCTCTAATCTTGTCATCACCGCCTGACTTCTCTGTGTTATATGGTAGCCCTTTGTTTGGTCGCCTCTTTCTTCCTGAAAATTTTACTCTTGGAAATCCAATAAAAATAAGTAAAAATGAGAAAACGATGATCAGGTAAAGGTAAAAGCAGGGAGGGGTGCACTGCATATTGTTTGAGCACCACTGGTGGCAGTCCATTCGGATCAAATGCTTAATCAACAGCAGACTGATGAAGGATTTGGAATCCTCTGCTTGGTCCATATTTGAATTAACAACGTCAAGAGGCACAGGGGCATTACTGAAGTGGCTGTTTAGATTGTACACGCTGGCAGCTGATAGATTTTTTTCGGACTTGAGACCGCAAGACTGAAACATTTTCCATCTGTCGAGACAAGTCTGGTTGGCCAAAATTGCGTATACATAATTGGCGTTTTAGCTCCGGAACAACGTCTTGAGAGCATGCGAGAGGTCCCTCACCAAATCATATTCTTTTTTCCAACGTAACTGTTCGAGTGTAGGAGGCGCAAAACGACTTGACCATACGTATAAAGTTTGTCACGGACAGCACGCACCATGGCGAAAATTCCAATATTCACTTCGGGTATCACAATATATTGAGGGGTCAGTATGCATGAGTAGAAAGAAATCTCTGTGATCAAGTGTGTGCAGCTGTCTCTCAGGCTGGAGAGGTTTAAGAGCTCTGATGCTGACGCTGACGAAAATGAAAATCAAGCTTCCGACCTATGAATAGATGAATAAATCTACACTAGATCAGGGGAGATCATTTGAGTGTCACGTGATCAGAATTGCCTAAACGAGGACGGTGACATAAATTAAATCAATTTGGGTCATTAACGAAACTCATCGAGATATGACTCAAGTTCAGCAGGAAAGGTAACAATGCTATGCAGTTCAAAGTTAGTGAAGAAAGTGACATAAAACCTAATGAAATTCACCGCGCACAATAAACGGGAAAATGTTCATATAATTTAGTATAACGGTGTAAAAATTTGTTAGCTCATTAAAATGCTAAGTGGGACACAGTCAGAAGAAATATAAAGATCCCCTAAATTAGTGGTCTGGTGAATACTGGGTTGCTTTGGTCTGCACTGGTATAGAGCAGTGCTGATGAAAATAGTGTAGCTTGTTTGGTTTACACCAGTTGTCATTTTGTACAGGTATTGATCAAGTTGATGCGTCGCCCGTTCACCATGATGTTGGGTTTATCTCAATGATGGTTATCTAGCAATGGAGCAGGCGGAGAAAGATGAACTATTGACCTAGTTTTCCAAAGATTAACATTTCACCTGTCAAAAGAAGTAAATACTCATCTCACCTGTTAAGTTTAAAGGGAACCAAACACTGAGTGCTTTGGCTGCAATATTTGTTGCACGGATGATGCAGGTTTTCCATAACTGTCGCTGTCGAAATGGATTAGCGAAAGAGATACTTTTTCTAGATACAGCGTAATATCGCATCCCACTCGAGACTGGTTAGTTAGATCTCGAATTTAGATTGTTTTCTTATATTTTTTTGGATGACTTAGTTCCAATATCGATTACATTCAATTACATTTGTATTTAATCGTAACATTTCCCTGTGTTGGAAAAAGATATAAGTTAACTAGTTCGACAGTGATCGTCGATGGTAGGATTATACAGGAAAACTCACAACCTCGGCGGACGAAGAAAACATAATGAGGGTTGAGATACTTTGTTCTACGTGAACCTTAGTTCTATAGGAATCGACAAACAATTCATATGCGATAAAATCGAACGGGCTTACAACTAGGTCAATTGACACTAGCGTATAATCATTGTCAACCATGGTGGTATAGAATGATGTGTAGCCCTGTGATACAGTAAAATCGAGGTGGAAACGTACACATATAAACATAGAAAAAACATAACAGCAGTAAG